TAGCAGATACAACAGGAGCAGAGAAGGAGCATCCCCAGCACAAGGAACAGTGCTGCTCAGCCCTCCGTGAAAATCAGTAAATTTCTGCTTTGTTCAGAAAAACTACATCCAGCTTTTAGTGTGAAGTTGTCTGATTTTTTTTTTAAAAAATGTATTGTGGTGCTGGATGTTTTGGTGCATGCCTATAATCCCAGCTATACAGGAGGCTGAGGCAAGAGGGTCACAAGTTTCAGATCAGCCTGAGCAGCTTATGTAAAGCTCTGTTGCAAAATTAAAATATAAAAGGGACTGGGGACATAGCTAAGAACTCCTGGGTTTAATTCTGAGTATTTAAAAAATAAATTATTGTGGTAAAAATTCATACAACATAGTATCTCTCATCCTAACCATTTCTAAATTTACTGATCATTAATATTATCTATATTCACACTTTATAATCAATCTCTGGAATTTGTCATCTTGCAAAACTGAATCTCTTACCCATTAGACAAAAACATCCTGAGTCCCCCCTCTTCTTGTCCTGTCACCCACCATCTGTTTTCTGTTTCTATAAATCTAACTACCCTGCATACTTCACAAAGTACAGTCATACAATCTTTGTTCTTTTGTATCTGGCTTATTTTACTTTACAGAAGGCCCTTAAGGTTTATCCATGTTCTAACACATGTTAGAATTTTCTCCCTTTTTAAGTCAGAGCAATACTTCATTGCATGCACATACCACATTTGACTTATTTATCCACTCCATTAATGGACTTCTACTTCTTGGCTATTGTATATAATGTTGCTATGAATATAGGTGTGCAAACATCCATACAAATTCTTACTTCTGAGCCTTTTGGTATATATTCAAAAGTGAAATCTTACCCTGGTGTAGTGGTGCATACCTGTAATCCCAGCACTCAGGAGCCTGAGGCAGGAGAATTGCCACGAGTTCAAGACCAGCCTGGGCTACATTGTGAGTTCAGGGGCAGCCTGAACCACACAGTGAGTCCTTGTCTCGGAAAAAAAAAAAAAAAGAAAGAAAGAAAGAAAAAAGTGAAATTTTGTTTAATTTTTTTGAGGAAAGTTCATACTATATTTCATACTGGCTACACTATTTTACATCCCCACCAACAGTGTACAAGATTTCTTATTTCTCCACACCAACCCTCCTGATCTTTCAACGTTTGCAACTAAGTCATGAATTTTTTTCAAAATACTGTACAGTCACACAGCCCAGGCCATGTGAGCACTGTCTGTCATCTGGAACTTTCCTGCACACAAAGTCTGATATTCACTGGCCTCTGGCAGGATGCACCCTCCTTAACCCTCGACAGCAAAGAACAAGTCTAGATGACAAACTTGTCATGCGACTCTGGGTGCAACACCTCACCTTGCTCTGTTTTTCTGCAGAGTGAAACAATGACCTAGTACTGTAAGCTAATGTTCATTTTTCCTCTCAGAGCACATATGATAGTGACACTTAAAAAAATACAGGAAAATAAAAAATTCTGTGTTCCTGAGTCTAGTTTATGAAGACCAAAACCCTTAGTCAAATTTGTTAAGAAAAATTAATTTTTCTCTAAGAAAAAGTATGACAATGCGTCCTGCTGTCCTTTTATGAATCTTAACTGAATTTAGTCTGTGGAGCTAAAACAGGAAAAATGCAGCCTCCTTCCTGGTTTCCCTTCCTCTTTAACTTTATGACTAAACATTATACACGTCAATTTATCTATAGTCCTATAGTCATGGAGCAGTGTTAAGTTGTGGCTGAGTGTTTGCTTGTTTTGTCACCTGAGTGAAAATGCGTAAATTTTAGAGATAATATAAGAATATCATGACACTTTTTTATCTGTGTAAAGTAAACTGGAATGCAGGGAATCTTCGGAGCAAGTAGAGGAAATCAGTGCCTTGCTCTGCTTTGTGAGACGCCAATCTTACCAAGAAATAACCCCTCCTATTAAAAAGGAGAGCCAGCTTTTCAAAACCTTTTTGAGGGAATGCACATAAACAATTCCATTTGGAGAAGGTAAAAAGAAGGATGTCTTCTTTTCATGTGCTGGATTGTGGCTACAAAAAGAGGTGGTAAACATTTAACTAGTCCTTCCTTTATGAGATACTCATATAAAAGGTTAGGGATACACTGAACAATACCATAAATGATCATTATTACAACACCTAATGCATTACATCACATAAATTTTGTCTAATCTTGGAAAGATGAGGTTGCAGATCTGACTTTTTTCCTTACTGTGGGTTATTGCTGGTTATATTCCATCATAAACATCCCCAAGTAATTCTGCATTGCAGAAAAGCCTTTTCACTGCAATCAGCATAAAAGAGGATGTAGTAAGAAATGAGAGAGAGAGACAGAGACAGACACAGACACAGACACAGACACAGACACAGACACAGAGACACAGAGAGAGAAACAGAGAAGGGGGAACAAGTAAGAGGATGGACAGAAGGATTTAATATAACAGGTGTGTGTGAAGTGCTTCGTGTGTATATTTTCTTCAGTTCTTACAATGCCTTGATAAGGTAGGATCTCATTTCTATTTTTGCAGAAAAGAAAACTAAGGATCAGAGAGATTAAGTAACTTATCCAAGTCACACAGTTACCAAGTAGTATGAGTTCAGCCACTTTGCACAAAACTTTCTTGCTGAGGTCTTGACAAACCCTTAACATATTTAAATAAGAACTAAGAGGTGATTTGAGCATATGAAGAGACTCTGGATAATCTCTTCTTGGCACCCTCTCTGGCACTGACCTTTCTTCTCTGAGAAACAGCAGAAATCCATGCTGTTTAGAAGAAAATCTAACAATTGCCTTGAAACATGGGGGTGTAAGAACAGTAAACCAGAACTGTTTAATCCCAAATTTTAAAAGCTACAGGGTAACAACAGTTATAATATTTTAAACAAAAGATAGATTTAATCTCTGGTACAGAAAAGCACAAACATATACAAATTCCAAAAGCAGTCCCAAATGACTGATGAGCCACCAGCCACACTTTCAAAGGTTTATATACTTCTGACAATTACAAAAAAAAACACATTGTGTTACTAATTTCACCTTTTGAATATTCCAGCAAAGCTATTATAGAAGTTTCCTCTGGAATAAAAATTGCCCTCCAAGAGAAAAGTCTACGAAATGGAACCTGATCTCTTTGTTCTGATAGAATTCACCATTCCCTTTTTCAGACAAGTTAGGAAAAAGTCTTTTACATATTACTGATAGGTCCCAAATTGTTACATTGTTTGGTTTGCTTTAGGTCAGTTCAGTTCAGTTTGGTTTTTAGGATCAGTGAAGGTAAAGTGAATCTGATGGAAAAGAGTCTGACATGTATAAATGGGCCCAGGATTCTGTAGGATGATGCTCATCGCACATCAGTTTCAGCAGTGTTGAGATATTTAACCCATGTCCAACGATATCTAGTGAACTTCCTTTTTAAAAGTCCAGTATCACTTGATATCTCAGCTATTTCTTCATGTAAAACTACATGCTTCATTCTTGTTCACCTGTGACAAATTTTAATTTCCTGGCTGTCCTTAATTTAGTATCATAATGCAATCTGATAATACAACAGATAATTCCAAAGCCATAAAGACGGGATAATTTTACCTGATTTTTGAAACTTACCCCCATAACATCTATCTCTAGGGTAAAATCTGGTCAAGAACAAACAAGGCACTCACTATTCTCTCCTAACTACTTTGAGTAGCAGTAAAACAATGTGCTTACCTAGAAATCTGCTTTGCCTGTGCCAGGTAACTTCCATTCATACAGGAGCTTCATAAAACTCAGACTCACCCCAGGCTTTGGAGCTGAATGCATGTGGTAATTCATTGCTTTGAAATCAGTGGCATTCCAATCTGGTGGGACAGTTTTGCCAGTACAGCATCAGAATATTTTTGCCTATTTTTCAGTTCTCCATGAAGAACTGTGCTTGCTATGGCACTCTGAAATGGAAAGATTTTAAAATTGCATTTTAACAAGACCTTTTACAATTGTCCCCATTTCACTAAGTTGTCATTTTTAAAATTCAAAGCAACATAGTTTACTTATGAGATTAGGTTGATCAGGTAATTTAAAAGCACAACCTGTGTCTGTTAAACATTTATAAAAGATAGTTATCTATTTTTATATATTCACACTAGGTTTGATTTTATATAAATGTTATTAGATTTTATTGCCTAGGGAAATTTTTTTCATGATTTGCTCACAACTATATGCCTTCAGTGTTGCAAAAACTACCAAAGATATATATATATATATATATATATATATATATATATATATATAATGTACTGCATAGCAACATTTTGCTCACACAGATAATGATCATCTCATGAGATTATATCACCTATGACAATATAAACTTTAGTTTGTGTGAATATATTCTATGATGTGCTTGCCACGATGAAATTGGCCAACAACATATTTCTCAAAATATCTCCCTGTTGTTAAATGACATGAGAACATATATCTAGTGGAAACATTGTACTTTAGCAGGAAAAGTTTATATTGTGTCCTATAATGCCATGTGGTATAGCAATGTCTTTAGATATTTTTTTTTTCTTTTTTCAATACTGGAAATAAAACCCAAGGCTTTTCACATCCTGAGCAAGGACTGTATTATGGAGCTACAACTCTAGAGGACTTTTAAAAGTTCTGCAAACTTTTCTAAAACTAGATTTTTATAAGTATGAATACGACTTTCATCTCAGTCCATGTACAAGCAGACTTTTTTAAAAAGTAGAATATCCTGGACTCTTTGTCCCAAGCACTTCCTCCCACTGCATGCATCAGTGTTGTCCTGTTTTCTTCAATCATGAGTGTGAACTACTCACATGGCTCTTGATGTGAGTCAAGATAACCTGAGCTTGCTGACCTTAATAATAATTATGTTCCATATAATTATTATTGTTGTCCTTTCTCCTCAGTAGAACAATGACTGGGTCAGTCTCCAAGCTACCAGCTGTTTTCTTCTTACTCACACTGTTTTTCTATTGCAGAGTGGATCTGAGGCCCCTCCCCGCCAGCGGCAGGCTGCAGCTTCGGAGAGTGGGAATGGAGCTGATTCCCAGCCAGCTCGCCACGTTTTCTCCTTCTCCTGGTTGAACTCCCTGAATGAATGATGCTCATTCCAACTGCTGCCACTCTGTCTGCCTAGCTGTGGTGTGCACAGGGTGCAAGGAGCCTAGGTGAAATTAACAAGTGCAGTGAAAATGATGAGGGACCTCTGGACAAGATTTCTGAAAAAGAGAGACAGAGAGAGAGAGAGAGAGAGAGAGACTTTAATTCCAGATGATTTATCTAGGATTGAGGAGGAGAATTCTGTCAGAAAATAATTGCAGAAAGCAGTGGAATAAAAGAAACTGGATACTATGAAAATCTTTTTACTGTGTGGGAAACACTATGAGGGGTGTTTAGGTGTGGTATGTGCGAATGTCAGTTAAAAGTGACAAGTGATGAAAAAAGTAGGCACTATAGTCTTGTCTCAAATAGGCACTTTTTGTTAGCATAGTAGCACTTATTTTGTTTCTCTTTAACAGTGCAGGTGGGTCAGTGAAATTCACTGTCAATTCAGAAGTGACTAGTTTATGAACCTATATGGACAAAAGGTAAATCATTGACCAAAGCTATGAAAATAATTTGCAAAGTTTTCCTCTTTCCTACAAGATGTCACTTGATATATGTCAAGAGATGTTCTTGGAATTTAATGATACTTTTAAAGTTCGGAAGACTAAAAGCTTAGGACATCTCTTGTGACATTTTTCTAATCTTAGTTTTAGACATTCATATATCAAGTCCTTTAACTGAAAAATACTTTTTAGCAGAAACTGTCTGCTTTCTCATGTATTCACTGTGGCACCAATCTGGTAAACTGTAGAACACATACATCACATCACTTAATCTATGGATTGAAATCATGCTTTATTTGTCCCACAATGATGCTCCCTTCAGAACATATGTGTAACTTTACTCTGCATAAACTCTTAAATAAATGCTGTTTTTAAAAATTTAGTCTTCTAATGACTTATTCAGTGTTCTGTATTCTCTTACTAATCCATTAGTCAAGTGTACTTCAAGACGCTCAAGGGAGGAAATATCTTCATACATACCAATTAACTTGGGAGTATTAATCAGTTAATTGAAATTTCAAGCTATAACTAAACTAACAAAAGCAAATACGTTGTAAAAACTTAGTTAGATGTGCTGCTCTGTTTTAGAAGTCAATAAAGAGAATTCATATTCCTAAGAATCAAGTTGACTGGGGCATAGACATAAATGTGGAGAGCATTTCTGTAGGTATTGAAGTCAAAATGTCCTTCATAAGAACAATTCTAAGTGCTATTTATTGCAACTAAATTTAGTTGTTTTAAATGGCAATGTCAAATTTCTCTATTACATTAGAAAATACCCTAGAAAAAAGTATCCTATGGTTCCAAAGTAGTGGTCTGATAAAGAGAGCTTTTGTCATAGGTAAACAATGCAGCATCTTGGGTATACACATAGTTTGGAAGAATTCCTTCTTCTGTTCTTTCCCTTCATTCTTCTCTCAGGATCCCCCATTCATAATTATTCAGAAGTAAACATTATCTCCATTATGATTTGATCTTCCATTTGTAAAAATTACCAAGTTTTAGGATTGGAAGTAATTTCCCAAATTATTTATTTGTATTAGGAATCAAATTCAGGACCTCGCACTTGCCAGGCAGGCTCTGTGCAGCTGAGCTATACTCCCGTCCCCACCAAATTACTTAATTTAGATTCAGAAAATTAACCCGAGAAGCACAGATGTACCCAAGAAAATTGCAGTTTCTGTACAAGCCACTAATAACGGTAGAAATTAAAATGCAAGCAGTTTGGGGGCTCTGTGGGAATAGTGACCGTTTTTGATTCTGTAGGCAGTTTGAAGAAAACTAGGAGCTATGACCACTGAAAGTGAAAAAGAAAAGTACAATAACATTTGCAGCTTTTATTAAAAATATAAATAAATATTCAACATTCTCTTACACAACCAAATTGACCAAGGACTGGAAAGATGTTTTATTACGGAAACGTTTACAAGAAAAAAAGTTGATTCAAAGAGTTTATACATCTTGTCTCACCCACTGTTCAAGAGAATGGCAATCTCTTTGGCTCTGACTACCAGAAAAACAACCAGGCAACTTCCCATCTGCCTCAAAATGTTTCCTCCTGGGCCTGCTGTTTTATTAAAAGACGACTGTAAAGACACCTGGACTTGGAAACTAAAAAACGAACAATACAGAGGACACTGCGTTGTCACTGCACATGTATACACTTCGCATGCTAATGAAAGGGTATAGAATCTCTCCCTGTACATTCTCGATGTTTCAAGCTATATAAAAATAAACAGATGATATCAGAGCAGCACTATGGTACAGAATGCTGTATTTTTAAATTTTTTTATGTTTTTGTGTGTGTGCTAAATGTGGGATCATTTCAGCCAAACGCACCACTTCACTTCCCAATAATCTCCATCAGTTTCCTGTTGTTGTGGGCTTGCTGCGCTAACTGCTCGGCCCTGGCCATCTCCAAGACTTCCCGGAGAAGGTGGAAGGTGAGATCCAGGGAGATGGGAGGCTCCTCGGACCGTCGCTCCCTCTCCAGTGCCTCCTGGTGGCCGCCGAGAGCGCTCCCGCCGCGGCGCTGCGCGGGGTCCGCGGGGCTGTCGAGCGAGCGCAGAGGCGTCTGTGGCTGCTGCAACGCGCGGAAAAAGTTGACTGCTGCCAGGTCCGGCGAGCGGCGGCTGCCCCCGGCCAGGGGCGAAGCGCCGGGTGCGAAGCGAGCGGCGGGGCTCCTGCTGAGGCTCCCCAGGCGGAGGAAGTACTCTTCTCCCACGCGGAGCAGGACCGGACGAGACTGCGGTGGCCGGAGCTGCTCGGGCTGAGGCGGCGGCTGGAAGAAATCCAGGGGCTGGGGGGACCGAGGGACTTGTGGGGCGCCCGGGACCGGGCCGCGGCTGAGGAGGGCCCTGCATGGGGGGCCGGGCAGGAGCGCGACCAGCAGGACGCCCGCGGACACCAGCAGCGGCAAGCGCATGTTAGGGGCGCTCACTGCGGCAGAGGGGCGGAGGGCGAGAGGAGGGAGGGAAAGAGAAAGAGAAAGAAGGGTCAGAGTTTAGCTCCGCAGGAGGGGTACGGGGGTCCTCCGGCCGGCGTCTGGAAGACCCGCCAGCTCCCGCCCCTACCCCCGAGGGTGGCGGGCGCTGTCCGCGGTGCTGAAGCTGCGGTCCGGGACTGGGGGCCCGAGGAAACGGGACGCCTGCTGGGCTGGCACCACAGCTCATCCCCTCGCCACGCAAGAGGGATTCTCTTTAGAGATTCCGAAGGCACCGTCCCCGAGTTCTCTGCCTAACAATCCCCGAAACCTGTTTCCAAAACTAGATTCCCCTGAGCCTAGAAGAGAAGCACAAATTTAAGATCCTGTTCGCTTTGTTCAGTCCCCTTCCGGAATTTCAGCATGTTCCTCCCAACTAAGAACTAGTTCTTCCTCCTCTCTCAACTCCTGCCTTGATTCCTTAGTGTCTGGACCGATATGGGGCAGAGTGAGCTGGGGGCTCCCATACCCAGGCAGCGAGGAAGAGCTGGCAGTTCGGGGAACTGCAAGCAGCCGTCTAAGTTTGCTTTTGACACGTCCCAGTTAGTATCAGAATCTTCAGGTACAGTCAGCAACAGCGACCACCAGCACACACACGCGCGCCCGCGCACACGCACACACACACACACACACACACACACACACACACACACACACGGCAGCTGGCTCTGCCGCGCACACCGCAGCAGCTCAGGCAGCGCAAAGTTGGTGGCGCGTTCCGTCTAGGCGCTCCCTACCTTCCCAGGCGCTTCGCAGGTGAGCTGGGTGCAGTCGCCTCTCTGCAGAGGGACGGCTCCGGGACTTTCTCTAAAGGAGGTTTTCTCCCCTTTTGTTTCTGTTCCCACTCTTTGTCTTTGTCTCTTCTTTTTCTTCAGTCTCTTAACGTAATTGGGCTCCGAGTTTCTCCACACCAGAGGCTAGTGTGGGATTTTATAGTGTCGACCCTCTTCAGAAAGCACGCAGCATTTGCCTAATAAGCTGACGCTTTCTTGACAGCTCGATTGCGTGCTGCCTCTGCTCTTGCATAAATCATAGGGCCCTGCCAAGGAGCGAGGGACAGAGTTTTGCTATTTCAACACTGAATCTCACATCCAATTATATCAACAGATATTTATCGCCTCCCTAGTGACGTCAACGAGTCCTAAAATGGAAGGGCTTCTTATGACTTGTCCATTGACAAAAATTCTTGAATGAAATTTTCCAAGTGTGGAAAACATACTGACATCTTACTATGGAAGGTCAAATTGAGAGTTGGGGGGGAAAAGACAGCTAATGAGAAAGGAGCTGAAGGGGAAGTGGGAAGGAAGGGAGATATACCATGCTGTCCTGCAAGGAGAGTAACTGACAGCTAGAGGAGCTGGACCAGGAGACCCAGGCACACCCCTTCCTGTCTTCTCGGGCCAGTTTTCTCAGGTAGCATTTGGATATCTGAAAATATCTCTTTCCTGTGAACAAAGAGTCCTACCATCTTTCTGCCTGGAAAAGAATAAAGAACCAGGAAATTTGTGTGCAGAGAAATCCTGGGTTAGTATCCTCTGCCTTTTCTTCCCAAGAGCAGAAAAAGGATCTGTGAATCTGCAGACACAAGGCCAGCGTCTTCAAACACAGTGCAGGTCCTTCACATGACGGTGGCTAGTACAGTGACGAAGGGCATGAGCAAGGGTCAGTCAGTGTCACTGCAGACACCTTAGATTCCCACAATCTCATTGCTCCTCTTGTGTCTCCCTTCTGCAAAATCTAAAATCAGTTGTGGAATTTTGTCTATTCAATCCAAACCCAATAACAACACAGCTAAAATATATCAGATGCAGATCTTCATTGCTGAATACCGCCTCTGTAAAAGCAGTCTCACTTGTCTCACCCTTAATTTGATAGCATACATATCAGGGTTACTTCATTGTTCTTTTCCGTCACTTCTTTTTTCAGACTCAAATGTACTCCATGTTAGCCTCATAGATAAATGCTCTCTGACATTATTACAGAATGGAATGCTAAAGCCTATAAAGCCACACTCAAATTTTGAGTTAAACTGATGCTATCATATAAGTGGGAGGCAGTTACATTTAAATCTGCAATTGAAAATGCAATTGAAAGATCTTGTGTCTGTGATTCAATTCAGCTTCCAGATAACCACCATAGTTGTTTATCAGGAATTTTCTGTTCCTCGTTGCTACTACTTCCTTTGTAGCTAACATAATAACATATATTTCAACTCTGATTTTGGGTCTGTACTAATCTACAATTGCTCTTTGGAACTAAAGGTAGGTAAGAAAAGAAACCTGACAGTTGCCTGAGAAGTAAGCTCACAGTTGGATCGTTGCACTGTGAAATGTACTTTGACTTAAAGAGAACAGAGGAGTTAGTCTACTGGGAAAGATGCATACTGTTAATAGATCACTGTGGCAAACGATTGAGTTTCCACAGGAAGGCTGAGTTCAATATCGGTAGAGAGATAAACAGAATCTTGGTTTTTGTTTTTGTACATTTTTAAAGTTGAAATGAATTGCCACATGTTTGCTACTTTCTTTTATGACCTATTTTTTGTCCCTATTAGTAGAATCAAAGGGTGAAAAGTAGGCTTAGAAGGGGGAGTTGCAGGTAAATGGATACAGATATGGAAAGGATTAGAATTGGAAGTTTTAGCTGGGGAAGTCTAGCAAAGATAATGCAGCAAGCTTTGGGCTCTGACTAGCCTCACATCCTTTCATTGCTTTCTCCCGTTGGGCTGATGAAAATGCTGTTTTAGCACAGCTGCCTTATCACAGTTGAGTTCTTACTGTGAGGTTTTCCTGGAGAATAAATTGGGGGACACCACAATTTATTCAAATGTTGGATCTCCCAAATCAGTGTGTTCACTTTACAAATGACTTTCAAAAAAACATTCAGTTTGGATGAGCAACAGAGTTTAAATGACTCACCTATCCTCACCTAGTCAGTTAGTCATAAAGTCAGACTCAGAACCTAGTTCTTTTGACTACCAGCACATAATATTTGCATATAAAAACACCCTTTGAGTCAGACATGATGGCACATTCCTGTAATTCCAATACTCAGGAGGCTGAGACAGGAGGATCTTTGCAAATTTGAGAACAGCCTGGGCTACAAAGTGAACTCAAGGCCAGCCTGAACTGCATAATGAAATCCTGCCTTAAAAAGTGCACGCGCGCCCACACACACACACACACAAAGAGAGACTACCTAGTATTAGGTAATCTAAGGAAAAAAACACCCTTTGAAGTTGTGTTTCCAGCAGAGGCACATGAACAAATTAAAATGCAAATATGAATTTAAAAAAAGAAAGATATTTACACATCAAACCTTGGAGGAGCTTTCTTAGACTGTCTTTATACTGGTAAACTTACCTAAAGCATGACAATGCAGAGATTCTCTGCTCATGCTGATGCCCCAGCACTGATTTGAAATCTCTGCATGTACAAACTACAATTTACTTTTCTTCTGAATCATATAATTATGATATGAAGTGTTTGAGTTAATTTTCAACTTAAAAAACATTAATTTGAGGGTCAGGAATTTAGCTCAGCAGTGTAAGTTCCTGCTTGGCAAGTACAAGGATGTGAGTTCAATCCCCAGTACCAAACCAAAAAAAAAAAATTTAATTTGACTTTTTTTTCCTACCTAGAGAACCTTTGGAAAAAAGTGATCCTTTTATTAATTGTAGAAGATGAGACAGGTTCTCAAAATAAATATACATATTGTGACTGGAGAAATAACATAATACAGAGAATTTATACACACAATAAATATCCAAGTTCATAAAAATCACCACTCACATATCCCATTTTACATGTAGGAATAACTTCTTGAAAGTTCTGAACATAATCTAGGAATCTGGGTAACAATCCCTCAACAAATTATTTTTAATTAATCAGTTAATGTAAATGCAAATAATATCTCTTAACTCCCCAGGTTGTGAGATGAGAATATTTGTGTGTTTTCAGCTTTTAATACATCCTCCTGCACCTTCATCTCCCAGTTTGTCATCTGTATGTACACCCTCAGGTTATTGATATTCATTATCTATAAGTAGAATTAAGTCTTCTGTGCCTTGGCCATAGTTTGATTTTAAAGCTACAGAATAAGACCAGATTCTAATTATGTTTCCATTCTTGTTTTTGTTTTCTACAATTACCAGTTGCCACATTCCTAGTTTGCTTTTATGCTAAAATTGTGTAGGATGTGAGATTAGTCAGAGTTTATGTTAAAATTATAAACTTTTCATATCTTCAATAATAAGTAATCTAGTAAGTTTTTCCCATTTTTTTAAGACTTCTCGGTGAAGACTCTAACCTGCTGCTTTGGGTCTGCTTTCCAAATCTGCTTCATGGCTGGCTTTCTGGGTTTTCTCTATTCTCGCTTCCTGGATGAATACATTGTGCAAAATCAAGTGATTTCTTCTTCCTTGATTACTGCATTTATTTTTGCTATAGCGTATCCTCAGGTAGCTTTCTTTTTTTCTTTCTTTCTTTCTTTCTTTTTTTCTTTTCTTTTCTTTTCTTTTTTTTTTTTTTTTTTTTTTTTGGTACCAGGGATCGAACTCACAACCTGGTGCTGGCTAGGCAGGCACTTACGCTGCTGGCCCCATCAGGTAGCTTTTTAAGAAACAATTATAGTAGGCACATTTTCTGAGCCTCTGCACCCTAAGATATTGAGTGATACTTTGTATGGTATTATAATTTCAGATTAAATACAGTTTTCCTCTACAACTTTCAGTATTATTCCCTCATGTTATATTAAGTAATTGTACTGATAAGAAATCCAATACTGCTGAGTGTGGTGCACACCAGTGTAATCCGTTCACTCAGGAGGCTGAGACACGAGGATTGCTGTGAGTCCCAGGCCAGCCTGGGCTACAAAATGAGTTCAAGGTCAGCCCGAACTGCATAGTGAGACCCTGTCCCAAAAAAACCAAAACATAAAAAAAATCTAATATTATCTTGGTACTCATTTTTATATGACCTAAATTGATTTCTTTCATTTTTTTCTTGACAGTTTTAGTCTTGTCTTTTTGTTGACATTTTGAAATTTTGCAGGGGAGTTTAGAACTTCTTTTTCATTAACCATTCTAATTTGGTGATTTAGTTTTCAGGTATAGAGAAATCTTTTATTTCTGTGATAATTTCCTCTATTCTTCATGTGATTTGTTTTGTTTCTTTTATGTTGGCCCTCTGTGTTTATTATTATCTTTACTTTTGAGCAAAAACTTTTAAATATCTTTCAGTTATTTAATTAATTTTCTTTTGCCAAGAAACTTCCAACTGGAAGTTTTGTTCAACTTCCAGTGTCTTTGTTCTTTCTCTGTCCTTTATCATAGATCCTGTTTTGATTTATGGAGCAATTCCCCCTTGAATTCTTTAAAAATACTAACTGGAAGATTCCTAAGTTTTCTTTTAGTCCCCTCCCACAAATTGTCTATTCCAACTATGGTTCTGTGAAAAGATTTTGCATGTCTTACTCCCTATTTTATTTTGGAGATTTTCCTTAAATTTCTTAAGACAAACCTATATTTGTATGATTGCACTCTCATATTGAAGAATTAGGCAAAGCAAAAGTGATCAGGAACTAGATGTGAGGGACAAAGAGCTTGTCCCCAGGAAGCCTTTCTTTTAGGGTAATGAAACAATGAAGTGGCTACTAGAACATTGCAGGACTTGGAAATTCCAAGTATCATCAAAGTCATGAATGAGAAAGGGGGTCAAAAATGGGGATACTCAGAAGACTACGTATGGGAAATTTAACCTCTTCACTAATGTTTCTTATTCTATGTGGAGAATGCCAGGCAAGAAAATGTTTATTAGGCAAAAAGCAAACAATTGCAAAACATACTGTTATGGGTTACATTGTGTCCTCCCCAAATCCATATTGTTGTGGGGTGGAATGTTCCACTGATTCCTTGTCTGGAACGTACCAACACTAGGGTCATAATCTCTGCAACAATAATGAAGAGGTTCTGGGTGGGCTTCTTCGTTAGACTCCTGCCCTTTCTGCATACCTTCTCCAGCTGCTTTCTCTACCTTTTTTTTTTTTTTTTTCCTCAGTAACCATTTCATCCTGT